TTTAAAATGTCCATTAAAATGATAAATTACCACATATATAATATTTATGAAATTTTGCCAAAAAGTCAAATTAATATGCATATTAAGTACATATAAAAATTCTGTGTATTTACAATTTTTAAAAAATCTCACGACAAAAAAATATTTGTTTACAATTTGAATCCTTACGAATTTTTGAAAAAAAAATCTCTGGCAATTTATCGTTCACTAAACTCAAAATAATGTCAACGATTTCTTAATTTTGAATTACAATTCGAATCCTTAAACATTTTAAAAAAATATATATGGCAATTTATCGTTCACTAAACTCAAGTCAACGATCTTTGAAATCCTGTACGGTGGGTCCCTGGCATGGAGAAGAATGAACTTAGATGAACTTGTTTTTTTTTACACAAATGAACTCGAAACGGAGTACATTGTTTTTTAAGAAAATATTCAAATAGTTTAAAATAGGCCTAGGTATTGACATAGCCTCAAATGTGAACTTATCTCCCGATTTTAGGTATTTCGTTTTTACAACCGAAGTGGCTGTGGATTGGCATTTCGTGATATATAAGATAAAAATATATATGTTAAAACAAAGCCATTCAGTGGAGAAAATTCCGAGATTAATTTTCTACCTCAAGTGTCTGTGATTTGGTATTTTGTTTTCTTAAATAATAAAGAATTTCATAAAAAACTTTTAATATCGATTGAAAACGCTCCATTAAACAATTGAAAAAAAAATAAAATAATTCAATATCAAAAATATCATTATTTCGAGTCCCTCAAATGAATGAAAATTTATTTAAATTCAGCTGATCCAAATATTTTTTAGGCTCTCAATTGTGTATAGTTTCTTTTGTATTTTTTTAGGATTTTAAAAATTATTAAAAATAAAATATTTCAATATCAAAAATATTTTCAAATTTTCACATCATTATTTCAAGACCCTCCGATGAATGCAAAATTTATGGAAAATCAGCTAATCCAAATATATTTATGGTGCCCAATTGTTATTAGTTCCTTTTGTATTAATTTATTTTTGAACAAATAAGCCGTTATTTTTCGAAAAATATATTTGGCGCCCAATTGTTTTTTCACTGTTGTTATTTCGTTGCATTTACTCATTCTAAATTATTGCAGGAATTCACAGATAGTTCATAAATATGTTGAAGTTTCTCTCATCATTTTTTGGAGTAACTCATATTAATGAAATTTTATAAATAATTTAAAATTTTATAGGAAATTAGCTGATTCCAATATATTCGTGGCTCCCAATTGTGAATAGTTTTTTTGCATTGATTTAGGGATTTAATGAATTATTTAAAATAGTGAGGCAGTATTCATTCATATCAAGTTTATAATTTTTTTATTGTGAATATCTACTGATGTTCGTCGAAAAAATCTTATTTGGCGCCCAACTATTTAATTCACTGTTGTTATATTTTTAATTATCCTTTGCAGGTATTTCAATCAAATTCAAAATGTATTCCTATCATTATTCCTATCTAAGTCATTGAAATGAATAAAACATATTGACATTTTGAGTATTAACGTTTGTATATTTGGAATTTTTTTATGAAGAAAATTTCATATACTATTCTAAATGTTTGTATTTAAAAAAATAATTTTTTATATTTTGATTTGCTTTCACTATCCTACAATTGCTGAACATTTTAATTTAAATCCTTATGTTAATCATAAATCTGACGACATAATTGAAAAAATTACAATTAGATGTTTAACTTGCAACATGTGTTGGTGGTGATAGCCGGGGGCGGAACTACACACCCAGAGGTCCATAAGCGATAAGCAAAAATAGACTAGACAGAAATAAAATTAAATCCATTATAGGAATGTCTAATCACAGCAATTATCTCTAAAAATGTATTTAAAAAAACTTGTCTAAATTTGGTAACATTATTAGTAAACGGGGGCAATGAAATCTAATGATAAGGGATTTAAAGTTTAGGGAAGACAAAGATTTTTTTATTTGAGATTTGAATTTTAAGGAACAAAAGAAAAAAAGATTTTATTATTTGAGATTTGAATTATGGGGAATAAAAAATATTATTATTTGAGATTTGAATTTTATGGAACAAAAAATTTGCAATATATGCCAATTTCGTTCCAAATGACTTTCCCATATTAAAGAATATAATGGAAAAAAATCGTCCTTCTATTCCAATAAATTTACAATTTTTTTTTATTTAAAAATAAACTTCCATGGGGGTTGTGAGTGCGCGATTTTAAAATCTCGTGACCATTTCTTTATTTTTTTTTTCAATATTTCAAATTCCACTTGACGTCTGTATAGGAAAAAAATTGTTTTTCTCTTAAAATATTTGTTGTCCAAAATATTTGTTCGTCTTTTTATGTTGACAATGAAAAATATGTTGTTGTTGTTCTGACTTTTTTGGCACACTGCTTATGGAACTACCACCTGGTTGTTGTCAATCATGACATATTAAAAATAAAAAGATATTTTTGGTCCATATTATTCATCAAAAATAATTTTGAACTAAAATAAAAATAATACGTTGTTAATTCGACCAAAAATATGATAGTGGCGCCCAATTATGCATAAATCTTTTTAGCATTGTTTTTAGGACTTATAAGGCGCCAGTGCTCTTTCAGCTTCGGCTAAGAGGTTTAAATAATTACCGAATCCTATATTGTTTTTCAATGTCGTTTTTTGTTTGTCTTTGAATTATTCTAGGCTTCAAAAAATGCTTACATTTTCCTATCACTTCAAGTTTCAAGTCACTCAAATGAATTATGCACCAGTGTTCACTCATAGCTTGGTTAAGATATGCTAAAGTATTGCAGAATCTTATATTTGTCGATAAATGTATTTGGCGCCCAATTGTTTTTTTCACAGTTATTTTTTGTGATAATTATTTAAAATTTTGCAGATAATTCAAAAATGGGCTCCATTTTTTATATCAGAATTGAATATATAATAAATATTGAAAATCAGCTGAGTCAAATAAGTTTGTGGCACCCAATTGTGATCTTTTTTAACATTGTTTTATCATAATTTAATAATTGTTTTAGGATAATTTAATAATTTTTTTAGCATAATTTAATACGTCTTTGTTAAGGGGATCTAAAGTATTGCCGAATAGTATATTTGTCTAAAAATGTATTTGACGCCCATTTTTTTGTCACAGTTGCATTATTTCAAAAATAAGTTCGATTTTCACAGCTAATTCAAAAATATGTTCGCATTTTTCACATAATTATTTCAAGTCCCTCAAATGAATGAAAATTTATTGAAAATGAGATGATCCTAATATATTTATGGCGCCCAATTGTGAATAGTTACTTTTTGTATTCTTTTAGGGATTAAACAAATTATTAAACATAATAAAATTCACCAGAGTCCATTCAATCTTGGCTTAAAGAATTGCTGAAAATCTCAAGCACACACAATTTCTTTGTGAACAAATATGACGTTATTTGTCGAAAAAAAATATTTGGCGCCCAATTGTTTTTCACTGTTATGTTTCTTTTACCCATTCTAAAATAATGCAGGGCTTCACAGCTAGTTCGAAGAATATGTTCACATTTTTCCCATTATTATTTTGAGTAATTCAAATTAATGAAATAATATATAAAATTAGATTAGATCAGAAATATTCGTGGCGCCCAATTGTGAATAGGGGCTTTATGCATGGTTTTATGGGTTTAATGAATTATTTAAAATATTAAGGCAGAGTTTATTCCTGTCCTGGCCAGGTGGGAGCTTAAAGAATTGCCGTAAATCTCAAATATATGTATAAATATATTTTTTTTCTTGTGAAAATCTGCTAATGATGATGGCGCCCAATTGTTTTTTCCCTTGTTGTCCGTTATTTTAATTTTAATTATTTATCATCATTTACCAGGGTACACTTTATTTGTCTGGCGAATACGAATGCTTAATTTCTATAATAACATCAGCTGATATTCAATCAAAAATATATATGGCGCCCAATTGCCGATAGATAATAGTTCACAAATAATCATCGGCAATTTTGCAGAATCGCTTGTTTTTTAAAGAAAGAAGAAATTTCACACATTTTGTCCGGTTTTATTTCACACTGAATATGAAAATAACATCGGAATCACCCACAAATTTATAAGGCGCCCAATATTTTATAGAGAGTAATATATAAAAAAAAAACAAGGGAGAAACAATACTAAATTAATCCGCTATTATTTGTATGAAAGTATTATCAGTTTCTATGTAAACATCAGCTGATATTCAGCCACAAAATATGTGTGGCGCCCAATTGTGTATATATAATTTTTTAAATTTTTCTCAGTTTCTTTTTTGGGTTTATATTTTGTTGTTATGGCAAAACCTGCTATTTTTTGGCATTGAATTATTTCAAATCTACAAAATTTTTATTTCATATCATTAATCTTTTTTATTTAATATTCCTCTCTCTCTCTTCTTTAATGTCAAAGACACTAGAATGGTTTTTGGAAATTTGCATAATTTTTTCTGCATGGAAATAAAACTTGTTCGAATGGCGGTAAATGCAAATAAATTAGGAAATATGATTTTCATATAGAATTTTTTAAATATTAATTAACTGAAAAAAATTCGTGGATTTTTTGTGGGTTATATTCAAATATCAATTTAATATTGAATATTTTATAATTCCCAATAGACCCGTTATACGTCAAAGTTATAAAAAATTGTTTGAAGTTTTTGATTGTTTTAGATTTTTTCGGTACATTTTCCTTTACAGATTTTCGTCCAAAATTCCCCAAAAAAATCTCCTTATATTTTTGTGTTTTTTTTTTCTTTTGATATAGGAAATAAATTAACCTGTTTACATTATTTATTAATTTATATGTTTACAAAAAAATCCCCTTTAATTTCCCTTTCATTTGTTTACAACACTTTTTCCGCGGTCTCTGGGTTTGCACTTCTTCTGAATTTTGATGAATCGGGTTTTGTGCGTGTTTTTTTCTCATTAATATTAAATTATTTAAATTAAAAAACAAAAACTCAGTTGACCTACCTTAGCATTAATGGCCATTTTGGTTGTCATCTTGACTGTATTGTAAAAAAATCAACTTAACAAAAATTAACAAATAAAATGGATATAAATTCCAGAATTTTCTTCGGCACTCTATTGGTAGCTATGCACTTGAATTTCTTTCTTTTTTTTCTTCTTTTATTAAATTGACTTTCGTCAAAGTCTTTTACGAAAACAAAAACTGTTAAATTTTTGCACAGTTTTTTCTATTAATTTTTTTTCCTCTTAAAAAAAAGAAAATTATTTTTTTCTTTTTCAAAAAATGCCTCTGGAAGCTTTGTTATTTATTTTAGGTTGCTTTTAAATTTGCTTCTTTTTTATTCGTTGATTTTTTTCTTCTTTTTCTTTCCACACTGGTATTTCCTTATAGATTCTTCTTGTACATATACAATTCAGAAAAAAAAACTTCTTTCTTCTTTAAATTCCGACACACACGATTCGAGTGTTGCTTGTGTTGATTCTTTAAAATAGTGTACGCTATATTAGCTGAATTCGAATACGTCTTAACAGCTCCAAGTTGCGGCAATAACTGAAAAATCAACTAACATGCGGGCCCTATGTATAGGCTTGACTAACCGATCGATCGAACGAACGAACGCACAAACGATGCGGTAAATGTTGAGCGAGCACACGAACCGCGAACACAATGCGAATAGTCGTATTTACTCAACGGACGTCACACATCATCCGCCGCTCACTTCACATTTCTCTTCATCGGCAAGAGACGAATGAAGAATACACACACCTACCTCTTAATCGGGAAAAGAACGACCCAACGACAATAACACATAATAAGCATTAAACAACGGTGAATACGAAATAACATCAACAACATTCGACACAAGTGTCGTATTGTTTCGTGTATCTGTTTTGTTGCTCTGTCAGCATGATCACAATTGGCAAAAGTATTTGCTGGCAGGTATGAACGGCCACCACCATCGTACAGCATCATGAGAGTATCTTTGAGATGAATTTTAGATTTTTTTAGTACAATTATCTTTGTTGTTGCCTTTTGTTGGCGAGATGTTGTATTCTAAGAGAATTGGTTGTGATTTTTTTTTGTTGTGTCTTTGTTTGATGTGACAGGTTTCTGATTTTTTGGGTCGTCTTTTTTACACAAGCATACAAAGATTTTGTAACAGAGCAAGATGTATCTCGATTTTAAAATACATTTTAGATTTCGATTATTTCATGTTATATGTTTGAGCCATCAGAATACGGATTGTACTAATTATTAATATTTGAAGTCCCTTTTTATTTTATTTCATCCATATTTAGGAACTAAAAACTGATTGTCACAGATAATGGCCTCCAGAAATCTGAAGATGATACAAAGTATACATGCATTACGAGATAAATACCCGATAAATAAATCAATAGATCTATCGGGCATACATTTACTACTACTGAAACTACTAAAGATAACCGCAAATAGAAATTAGCACTTTTAGGTCACTTTTAATTCTGACCTAATTCCAATCCTAAGTACGGTGTATAAAACTAACGATCTGAAAATGCGTGAATTAGTAGAGGGTTAACATCGACATTTATTATTTTAATTAAGTGTAACAATCTATTTTCGACCTTTACCATTGACTTTAGCCGACTATTGATGCACGGTTTGGTATTTCGGTATTTTGGCATATTTCCAATTAAAAAGGTTGCAACATGGTATTCTGAGTTTTTTTAAGGATGAACAACTTCTTCTTCAAACAGAATATTCAATACTAGATTATATTTTGGCGTAATCATCATACCAGGATGCAGTCCATTATATGTGTTTATGAGCATATTCGAAACTGAAATATTCAATATAGATTCATGTTTTGAAATATATCCAATTTAATGGTCCAATTATAGAACTATATTATATATATTCATGGGCCTAGAAGCATTTTCCAAGTTGTATTTAGTATTTCAGTTTTCTGGAGGGTGAACAAATTCTTCGCAGACAATTTTTAACATTTTATGAATTTTTATCGTTCTGTGCACATTTTTCAGGCCGTACAACAATACCAAGGCATTTAAAAGGTTTCCGAGGATAAATGCATTTATGTCAGTATATATACATTTATACCCTTCACCACACAGTGGTACAGGATATTATGTCTTTGTGCATATGTTTGCAACAGGAAAAAGGAAACGAGATAGACACGTGGTTCCGTCCGTCCGTCCGTCTGTAGATGATAAATTGTAAACAAAGTGATCCGATTATGATCCGATTTCGATGAAATTTGGCACAAATCACTTATTTGGCCCAAGGACCAACCCTATTAAAGTGGGGAAAATCGGTTCAGATTTAGATATAGCTCCCATATATATTTTCGTCCGATTTTATGTAAATGGACACCAAATATATATCTTTCGATTTGCATAGAATCACTTTCTAAGTCGATTAATGCATGTCCGTGCGTCCGTCTGTATATGATAAATTGTAAACAAAGTACTGGTCGCATTTATGATCCGATTTGGACGAAATTTGGCACAAATCACTTATTTGGCCCAAGGACGAACCCTATTGAAATGGGGGAAAAATCGGTTCAGATTTAGATGTAGCTCCCATATATATATGTAAATGCAACACCAAAGTACCTATGTATATTTCGATTTGAACGAAATTTTGCATAGCCTACTGAATTGAGTCTAGAATGACGTGTGTCAAGTTTTGAGAAAATTGGGTCAGCTCCCATATATATTTTCGTCCGACTTAAGGTAAATGGCACAGCAAAGTCCCTATATATCTCTCGTTTTGTACGAAATTTGGCACAGCATACTGAATTGAGTCCAGAATAATGTGTGCCAAGTTTCGTAGAAATCGGTTAAGATTTATATATAGCTCCCATATATTCGTCCGCTTTAATGTAAATGGTGCATCAAAGTTTCGTGAAAATCGGTTCAGATTTGAATATAGCTTCCATATATATTTTCGTCCGATTCAAGACCCTATATATCTTTCGATTTGCGCAAAATTTGGCATAGCGTACTGAATTAACTCTAGAATGATATGTGTTAAGTTTCGTGAAAATCGGTTCAGATTTAGATATATTTTCGTACGATTTAAAACAAATGGTGCACCAAAGTCCTTATTTTTTTCGATTTGCACGAAATTTTGCACAGCGTACTGAATTGAGCCTAGAATGATGTGTGCTAAGCTCCCATATATATTTTCGCCCGATTTAATGTAAATGGTACACCAAAGACCCTATATATTCTTCGATTTGCACGAAATTTGGCAGAGCGTACTAAATTGAGTCTAGAATGATGTGTGCTATGTTTCGTGAAAATCGAAATTATGTGTGCTATGCTTCGTGAAAATCGGTTCAGATATTTATATATGTATAGCCCTGTATATATTTCGTCCGATTTAATGTAAATGGTGCAACAAAGTCCGAATATTTTTTCGATTTGCATGAAATAGAGTATTGAATTGAGTCTAGAATGATGTGTATTACGTTTCGTGAAGATCCGTTTAGATATATATATGGCTTCCATGTATATTTTCGTTTTTAATTCAATTATTTTCGTTTTTGATTCACCAGGAATCTGATATGCTAAATTATAGGCACTTTGATGAGGAAATTCGGTTAAAAACTTAAAAATACCGAAAATATTGCGAGACCTATATGCAGTGGGCTACTTCAAAATCACGGAATGCCAAGTTACAGCCACAACAATTGAATAATACAGCACCATAGGACGGAACATTCTGATAAAGCCTTCAATATACCAAAAATTGTTCGGTTCGGTTATATGGTAGCTACATCAAAACGTAAACCTGTATTGATAATTTTAGTAAGAAGATTTGACAACTCATGAGAAAATGAAAAATAAATTATAGCCAATTCGATTAGAAAAAGTGCCAAAAAGTCAATGAGAATCCAAAATATAAAATTATATCCTATTTGGTTAAAACACTCCCAACCATCCCAAAATATCGAAATATGGGATTTAGCGCTACCTTAAAAAGTGGACGTTTTAGTTAGAAGATTTTCTACCCAATGAGAATCCATAATACCAAATTACAACCGATTAACATAAATATATATTATGGTACAAAGTGTGAAATTCTGTATTCTAGTGTCACGGACAATTCTTGAATCTGCGAATAAATCGTGAGAGTTTGTTTTTCAAAAATCTTATGGGAAACTTAGAGAGAAGTTTGCAGATCATACATTGGATGCCAAAGTTGGATCCAGAACAAAAATAATACAATCAGTTATTGTTGGTCTTGTCAAAATTGGATAATAATACTAACAGTCTGCGCACTTCTTTAAATTTATTAAAATTTTATGTAAACAAAATTATTATGACAACAAATTATCACTATTATTTACCGTTATTGTGTTTGGTGTGTTTTTTTATATTTCAAATTTTTGGACATAATAAACCTTGAGCAAAATCTTTGAAAGAGTAACATTTGAAATCTTGTATTGTTAATAAAATACAAAAAACAAGTATATTTTAAATAATCATCACGTGCCGCATAAATTTTCAAGTTATGTATCTTGAAATAAAAAAAAAATATTATATATATATATATTAGTTATAAAAATATATAATATTTTGTTTGATTTCAGGCAATATACTGTGCGTTTTGTTGGGGAATGATAATGGTCATAGTCCATGTTTGATATAGTGTTGAGTTTTGTTAAAAAAATTAAAAAAAATAAATAAATTATGAAACCATCTCTGGGATATATATTCAGAAAAATTGTCACTCCCCAAACATTGATTTTTATACATTTTTTTCCAGATTTTTATCTTTTTGAATATTTTCATAATTCCTTTTTTATTGTTTCAGAAGCTCTTATCTTCTACATTTTTCTAATTTTATTAAAATTTTGTCTCTTGCGTTGTATTTATTATTTCCATATATTATTTTCGGACAGCAACGTAAACGAAAATGAAATTAAATAATCGTATTTTTTGTCTGACTCTTCGCAAAAAAATCTAGAGCCAAAAAAACACACACACACAACACTCACACAATCTGGAAAGATAGCAGAAAAAAGTGAA